TTTTGGCCATGAACATTGAGAAGTCAGAACGGAGCACATCTCCAGAAGCCACCCTAGCTTTCGGTCAGAAGTCACCCTAGCTTTCGGATTCGAAGAATAGAGACAAAACAAGGGATATATGACGATGCAATTGGGATGCCCCAGCCATAGGTGAAAAGGTCGAAAAGATTGTTTCGTGAAGGCACTATCAGAACCAAGGTGAAAAGGTTGCCCCTCCCCTCCACATCCTCTCCCTCCGTCTTCATTTGAGAAATTTGTCTGGTAGGAATTGAAGATGGTGACAGTCTCTTGTTTTTTCGGATTGCTCACCAAAACACGCAATTCTTCCGATAATTCCCAACAATGAGGATGGTCTCCGATGGTTTATGGGAGAAAAGATTGAGGTTCTTTCCGTTCACCAGTCGTGTGAGCAGCTACCAGGTTCCATTCGGCAGCTAGTTCTTCCAGCCCGCGCCCCAGCTTTCCTCAGCTCCTTTCTTTTTATATTATATATTATTAATATTTGTTAAAATTTGTATAGCTCAATGTGTGACTGCCACTCATTACACCATCAAGTAAAGCTTAGCACAAGCTTCTTTAAAAAAAAACTCGGAAGGTAAATTCTGATTCATTATTGAGAAGGTAATTTCAGCAATACCTCAAGAAATTTTCGTTCAACAACACCCAAGCTTCTGATCTGTGGGAGGTTTTCGACAAAGTTGTAACGAATGTCACGGGTCCAGATGGTAGCCCTTTGAAAACCACTGAACTTGCTAACCAGTGGACTACACAGGTTCACACTTATATTATAGTATTTTTTAATATTTATTTTTCATTTTTATTTTTTACTTATAACTTTTTATTTTTTCACACTTATATTTGAAGTGCATTAGAAATTTTCTTTGCGTCCACTTGGCAATATTATAAAAGGTTCTGCGAATGTTTTAGATGGGCTATCCTATGGTTACTGTGGAAAATTTCAACTCTACTTCTCTGAAAGTGTCTCAAACCCGGTACAAGACAAATAAGGATGCTCTGGAGTTGGAAAAGTACCGCCATCCAAAATATGGGTTGGTCCTGTTCATTCTTTCTGCTAGAGTCGAATAGTTATTATAGTTGATTGATTCTTGAATGAAATTCCTTTGACTTCCGCTAACACAGCCATGTTTACAGGTTTAAGTGGGATATTCCTCTGTGGTATCAGGAAGGAACTAACAAAGAAATAAAACGAACTTGGCTTACCAGAGGTAGGTGATGTTGCTATATGTTCCCATCGCTGGATATCCCTCTTCTTGAGAAGAATTCAGAAGCGACAGATAAACCACGCAAAAGAGTTTGCGGCAATAGCAGGTGCTAAGAAATAGAAGGGAGCGGAAAACGGTAGAGAGATTCTACTTAGCAAACATACACTGAATAAAAGTGAATTGAATTCCAATCTTTGACATAAGGTAATTGATCTCACGCGCTGGGTACCCGACAGGAGGCCCGTCGCGTGGGAAAAGGCAGAGTCAGTGGACGAGTCGTAGCGCGCGATGTGCAATATTACGAACCTTCACGCATTACGCACTTAGCAGCAGTCGGACAAAATGCGGTTCCTATATACCTCAAAATCGACTTCAGTGTCTTTTTCGGCTCGTATCTGCTAGTCCACATAACTGTTATAAATGGAGCGTATAGACTTATGTTTCTTTCTGGTAATACAACTTCAGCTTGCTTTTCAGAAGAGCCGCTTTATCTTCACGTTGGTAATCCTGCAGCGAGCATTGTTGTCAATGCTGATCGGCATGGATTTTATCGGCAAAACTACGATAAGGAAGGCTGGCAAAAAATTATCAAACAATTCAAGGAAAATCACGAGGTGCTTTGTGATGATTCGCTTATTTCATAACGTATAGCGACACGACAGTGTTATCACTGGGTAGTAGAACGCATGGACGTTGAAGTAGCTTTTCTGTTAGTCTAGAGAGGGAGGGTGGGCAGTCGTAATCGCAGGGAAGGTAAAATAAAATCGAGGATAGCGACCGTTTGAGCGAAGTTTGAATGGCCTTTACTGTAAATATGCGCGGCTGCGTCGCGACAAAAGCTCGTCAACTTTTACATTGGAGAGAGGGGGATGTGGGCTGATATCCTTCAAACGTCCACTCTTCTCTCAACGTTCCCACTTCACGGAAATTTGATCAACTACGAGACCTTTCCTGCAGAAACCTATTGAGTTGTACTCGGACCGTTGGACAGGTCCTCCATCATTGAAATCTGATGGTACGGTTAGGTTCTCATACGGTAGAACTGCAATTAGAGCTACTTTATGTGCAGAGAGGAAAAAATTACGCCAAACAGCCCGAAAATTTTGAATTTGGACCCTTTCCTCCCTTTCTCTACTAATAAGACAGTTGGGTTACGATGGTGAAGGACGAGGATCTAGGGTGGCAAAATGGTGCACGTGCCAGCGAGAGCTCACCGCCGCGGGCGCAATCTTTCCAGTTCCACTCACTCCACTGTAGTATCGGGTGTCCCCCAAGAGGCCCACCGCGCGGCGAAGGAAGAGACGCAGACGCGGCAAAGGACGAGTCGCAGCGCATACTGTAGCGGTTAGGCGTCAGGTTAAATAGAGTGTACCATACTACGTCTCATATCGCACAGCACGCGCTGCGACTCGTCCTTTGCCGCATCTGCGTCTCTTCCTTCGCCGCGCGACGGGCCTCTTGGGGGACACCCGGATATCCACCTCCTTTCACCATGTACTATACATTCCCCTTCCCTGACCTCCAATTTCCTATCTCCCACTTTGTAAATGGTGAATTGAAATTCAGGAAATGCACAATTACTTCTCGGAGATTGTTACCCTTGTTCTCAAATTTTGAAAGCTAAAATTGCTTTTCTGTAAATAACATCGTCGCTAGCCTTAAAAATCGTTTCTCGAGAAAAGCCCGTTCAACCCGTTTTTGTCTGAATAAGTTTTCAATCTTCCAGCGGTATCCTTCAGAATGGTAACTGTGATCAAAAAAGTTCTAAACACCGCAAAATTTGGGCCGTTATTGCGCTTAGTATATCGCCAAAATGGAGAAAACCGAAAGAACTGCCTACGCAACCGAAAACAAACCCCTCCCCTCTCCAGTATCAGGGTATCGAAGTGGCGTCGATTTGTAGACGGGATCCAGGGTGATGAGCGGAGTCCGGTGCATTCTTCTGTCTTAGCGCCTTAATCTTGACGGATCGTGGCGCAAAGTGGGTACTTGCTCCGCGTATCGCTCCATACTTCTCGCGCAGCGGCTTCATTTCGTCCAGAGATCCCCGAAATCTAATCGATACCTGCTCGAGATCTTCGATTTTGTGAGACTGTTCTGTTGAGCCTGAAGATTTGAATATTTCTTGCCTCTAAGGTGGTGCGCAAACATCCCTCCATAGCGAAGTAAGCTCAAGCCTTATCAAATTTGAAACGTTCAGTGCTACAGCTCCTGCTATGGGATGTGCCACGCACCTTCTAGTTCAGGGCTGCGAAATTATTTGAAAGCGTGCTCCTTCCAGATTCCAAAGGATTACGCGTACATCCAGACAGGGATAGAACCCCCGTTTTTGGGCACGTCTAGTCACCCATGATTATAACGGAAGATATTTCTCTATTTATTCATTCATTTGAGACGCTGGGCGGAAGTGGTGTAGTGGCAAGTGGCACGCTTACCACGCGAGCGGTCCGGGGATCAAATCCTGGGTCGTGAGTCGCCCGGGCCAACCAAGCCTTCCATCCCTCCGGGGTCGGTTAATTGGTACCAGACTTGTCTGGGAGGATAAAAACACTGACTTGTACATCGGCTGGCCCCCGCAAGTCATTGTATAGGCCACATCGCATTCAAACGCCACTACGAATGTACAAATGGAAGTAGAATGCGTGCCGCATCCCAAAAAGGGATTGATCAACGGCAAATGCTTTATCCTTTATTTTACGTTGCCTCGCAAGGCCGCCACGTAAAATAACTGCTTCCCAGCTTCAAAGTTAAATGCCCATATGAATACATCATCGTAACACAATACCGCTTCTTCTACCTTGCCGTCGTAAGAATGAGAAACCCTGAGGAGTAAACTGCATAGCGATTCTATAGAGCTCAACTACCTCGCACAGAAGCTCTCCCCCGCGCCCCAAAGTGTCGTCGATGAGAGATACCTCTGCGAAGGGCGGGCGGGAGCGTAATCAAGCACACGTGAAATCCGCCTGTACGAGATGGTTACCTATCCGATTCCCTCTGAGGCCAGTTCTATGTGATGCCAGTTATGAAGCAGGCATCGGCTGTTCGCTGAAGCTGATTTTTCTCCTTATGTTTTTCCCACTTGCTTTTTTTGTACAATAAGATCAGGTTTGAGCGTTCCGTACTTGTTCCTACAAATAGCTGAGAAAGAAGCGCTGGTTGAAGTTTCTTCCACTCAGAAAGTTTTGTTTAGGTGTACAGTGCAAGAACCAGAAACGCGATCATAAGTGACGCGTTTGCAGCTGCCCTTGTTGACAAACTCGAGTACGAAACTGTTTTTGAACTGCTGAAGTACGCCAAGAAAGAGAAGGTTTTTGTACACTTTTTGAGATTTTCTATCGAAGAGAGGTTCTTCTACGCGAAAAAAAATATATTGCAGGAACTTTTACCATGGAACGATATTATTGTTGGATTCTATTCAATTCTAAAGTACTTTGGCAACGAACCGGAATCGAAATATGCTAAAGTGAGCTTTACTAAGATAGGGAAAAATGCCATACAATTAGCCAAAACCAAGTTTTTAGAGTTACATGTTGGACGTACTGAAACCGATCTACAGCAAGAGCAGTATTGATTACATTACCAAGAATTACGCCGACGATTCGTTATTTTTCGAAAAGTATGTGCTGTTCCATTATATTTTCAGCTATCATTTGTTACAAAAAATCATAATTGCTACGCTGACTGCGCGAGCTCAACGCATTGCCGACCGCTGCTCATGTGTGACCTGTGTGGGTCCGTTTGCTCCCTTTCTTGGCCACGCGGGTATTGCTTACTGAAGAAGTTCTTTGCTCTTGCACAAATGGTAGCCTTCAGATTTATTATATTATCGAAATACCTACGGTTATTGAGTAGGTTATTGCAGAGCTATTGCTACAGGTTATTGAACGAGCCGCAGACCGTAGGATATTGCACACGCAGAGGACGAATCCGGATCTCACATATCTTGCTCTCCTTATATACGGTGGCAAGCTCCTCGACGGCACCAAGAATGACAACATAGCGCAGCCTGTAAAAGCATTTTCGAGAGATCAGCTAGAGATAAGAAAACTCCTGTGAAAGTACAAGAAAAAGCTTTCTAACCGTAATGATCGATAGCGTAGCTATAACCTGTTTTTTCATCAATATTACGTAACCCGGCGGCTTTTTTTTTAGCGAGGCTGTGCCAAATAATCCTTCACGGGTTCCAATGCGCATATAATTGACTTTGAAGAACAGGCGAAGTGCCAAATATACCTAGAGAACCTAAAGGAATAATTTTTTCTGAGAGAGATATTATAACAGGGGAAACATAATATACTCTGTTTATAAGACTGAATAGAAAGGAGGAAAAGTCTGAAGGGTACAAAGTACAGTTGAAATGAGGGGGGAATTGCCCACAATGTGTGGGGCTTGTCTCAGCCGGCCTATCTCACGGCCAAAATGGTGTAATGCTGTACAAAAAAATCCTCGACGAACGGTTGCCGTTTCCTCGACCGATTGTCCCTGATGAGGAAGAAGAAACGAAAAGTAGTCCGTCACAAGTTAAACCTACTCGTATTCGTAAATCGGGTGTGCAAAGGCAATGGAACATCGAGCGTGGAGAAAAGAGCTGGAAGCACGATGGATGAGATGGCGCAAAAATCCCTGCGAAGGAGGAAAGATGCGGCACGGTCGAGCATCCTCGGAAATTCCACAGCGCCCACTTTTGGTAGCCAGCAGACGGAAAATCCGCGCATACAAAGACTACATCCTCACTAAGAGGAAAGATGATCCCCAACTCATCGTGGATTGTGCTTCTGAGTGGCATTTTATACTTTTTTCGTGAATCTTCTTCAAGAAGGACTAGAGGCCATGAAAAAGCAGATAAAAGGTAACCCTGATAAGAGGCAAAAGTCAATGTTCCATTTTTGAAAATACGAACTCCCTACCACTGCTGGATATGGCATCGATACGACCCTACATCATGGCCGTCGCCCAGAAAATAATATCCCTCTCCACACGCAACCATAAACGTCACCATAACGGACCGTTTCTACAGTATTTGGTTGTGAGATTTGTCCCCATACGCCAACATTGCGCACTTTCTCTTACGGCCGTCGATGGTTACTATAAACGGCAAATGACAATTTTGGATATTTTGCGCTCCTTCGTCAAGTTTTGGCGAATCGTCCAAAAACCCCGCGAGAAGAAACCCAATCCACTAGGAACTCTCTCCGTTCCCAATCCTTCGAGCATTCAAAAGAATGCTTTTCTCACCCGTTCCTACTTCTCCAGACCCAACCTAGCAGCTCTCGGTCCGAAAAGCTCAAAATTAAAACCCCCCCTTCGACTGCACACGACGCACGCTGACATGCGATATGGAGGTCAGAAATATAGCTGAGAAGCCGGTGCGCCGCGAGAATAGCACGTCATGATTTGTGTACAGGTCAGAGACTGGGAAACAATTGCGAGAGAGGTAATGAAGGAGGGGACGTCAAATGCACATGGGGGCCGGCCACCTTCAAGAACTTCTGTTTTTCCGCTCTAACTCGCCAAGAGCAAGCTCGCTCAATAGCAAATATCATTATTTTCAGCAACCTCCAAAAAGCAGTTATTGACGCGTACTGCTATTTTGGATCGAAGGACTGCATTGAGAAGTTTAAAGATCTTTTCGACAGAGAAGTAATTCAGAAATGTGAGAGCGGCCAAAAAGCAAGCAACTGCGTGAGGTGAGTCATTCTTGCTGTTCATGCCGATGAATTGCGGAAACGGCACGATGAGGTATCAAGTAAGGAGTAGTGTAGAAGTTGAAATATATAGATGTGTGCAGACGAAAACAGCGAGCAAAAATTCATCACCCCAAGAGTGCTCCTGAATGTAGGAATTGCCAATAAGCACCAGGTTTACCCGGAGAGGAAGGCGCAATACGCGAAATGACTCAACCATTACCTGTCACCATTTTCATGATATGTCCAGTACTGTAAAAACCATGGGGGAGCTTTGCATCCTTGAGAGGGCATTGATTAGACTCGCAAAGGCGATCTTACTTGGAACAGGGACAAGCAGGGTGTGCCGAATTGTTGACATACGCCTAATCCTATTTAAACGGATCAAACTTCTATACAGGTTTTACCATTTATTCGGCTACGTTAGCAGGTGTTGGTAATAAGCAAGAATTTTGCTTGTTCATAGTATACTTCACAAAGAACGGGTGAGTAGCATGAGATGCGAAAACCCACTCATACTGTTCTCAAATCGACTATCACTATTTTCATGGTATGTTCAATGCTGTAAAAGTCCAGTATCGATGAAAATGGGCAGGCTGAGATACCAAAACGGGTAAAGAAAAACTGTAAAATAAGAGCGGGGACGAATAAAATGAAAGACGCAATGGAGGTGCATATGCAATACAAATTTGGGTTGCGGCTAAAGGACAACTAAGAAATACGTCGAAGGGAAATGTTCTATAGTTTGAGGGGTGAACGCAAACCTTTGTTCTCTGTAGTTGATTGGAACTGAGCTCTTCCCAAAAGCTTTATTTGACTCAGCTTTGAAAGCAGATCAGTCCAATCAACTACAAAGAAGTCTAATGAAACATGAAGCTTGGAAACCCTTTGATCTTAATTATGCAAAGCTATGTTCGTGTATCATATTTTGGACACAATTTTTTCAGTGGAAGCTAGATGCTAAGGACGCATTTAATTCAAAGGCAGTGGGCATTAATGGGCTGTCCCAATTACAGTCCCAACACGCTGAGGGGTCTAATCCACCAATGACGTTCAACGACTTCATCAAAGCGTGCTGCACTTCATCCGTTGTGATCACTTTCCTTAGGATCTATTTCGCCTCTCCGGGTAGATCATGTTAACACGTTGACGACGTCCCACTTTGCACACCTCGTGGGACATTGTGACGCGGTAACGCGTCCCACCCAAGTCATCCCTTTTTCTTGCGCTTGTGCGACTTATTCCTAAGGTCTTTCTATAGGCCATACATTAGCATACTTAAAAACCACATGGCTCACAGAAAGGCCAAATATTCTTTAGTTTGGCAGAGGTTTTCCAGACCTTACGAATATGTCTGTTCAGTTCATTCCTCGTTTTCTTTTCATTAACGTGAACATGTGATAAAAAGAATAATAGAAGTGAATACAAACCTATTCGTATGGCAAATATATGTGTTTTTACTGAAACAACCACGTCCAAATTAATTTTGGAACCACTAAAGGGAAAACTCGTACTTTTCATGTCTCTCACGTCACATGGGTGGTCCCAAGTCATCACTGATAAGCTAGACAGATCGAACATCATTGAAAACATTTCATCGCATCTAAGTATTACTAATTTACAGCTCAAAATCCATGGATTTGGTGTGCGGCGGCGGCTCGCAAAATCGCTCTTGTCCCACGCGGTGCAAAAGCCCAAAACGCGCGATGTCGTCAACGTGTTAAAGCTGCTCCCGGTAATCAAACGAGAGTCCTGTTCCCAAGACAATACTAAGTACGAGGGGCCCGATGACGTTCAGGATATGGAAGAGGGCCCATTTAAGAAAACGGTTCTGCTGACCTGATAGCCAGCAGCATATTTTGAGAATCACTGCTTTATTCAGCGTCGCCGCTCCCCTTCGAGCGATGGTCTACTGCTATGGTGTAAAAGAAGGCGGAGACGATGCTTTCAACAAGGTAACCTGGAGCATTTCTTCACAGGCATAGATCATTAAAAGCACAAATCGCACTGAAATGTTGGCGCGCGCAACAACAACGAACGGATCCTGCCTCGCCAGCAGCCTGTTCTTGGGCGCTACGGTCTGGTCTACGATGAGCTTGACACCCCTAACTAGGGTCAACCGCCGTCACGTTGCAACAAATTTCAAAAATTTGATGACCCCCTTCTAGAGGGCCTCGATATGACCCCCCTCAGGGTCAACCCTTCACTACCCCCCACCACACTGAGACTCAGAGTCTCCGCAACCTTGAACCAACCCTTCTCACATGACTACCACCCCTCACCATCATGGCTGTATTCTATACATATGTTCTGAGATACTTCGAACACAGCCCAACGCCCACTTTATGACCTCAAACTGCCGTCGAACGGGGGGAAGGGATATATATCAAATGTGAAACTCTCCATTCCATGGAAAAACATCCCTTCCCTTACTGTGACATTAACGCTGCCTTGCCAAAATACGACCCCCCCCCTCTTTTCCACCCCCCTCCACCAAAGAACGATCCCCCAAATACGACCCCACCCCACCCTCGGTAGAACTATGTCTCCAACGACGGTTTGACCCTGCCGCCACTGACCTGCTACCAAGGAATTACTAGAGCGGATGGTATCTATACACAAGAACTTCCCTAATCGACAATTCGTGATGCAACAATCGTCAATCAATCTCATGCAATCTCATCAATCTCATGCAATCTCAAAGTGATGCTTAAAAACTGAAGTCCGTACACTCCAAAAGATCTTTCTTTTTTTTGCTTTTTCAGGTTAAAGAGCTGTATTATGCAGAAACTGTCCAGTTAGAAAAGGACTACCTGCTCCGAGGCTTAGGATGCCACAAGAACATTACAGCCTTGAAAGGGTAGAGTGTTCAGTTCATTTTCCCATTATCGAAGCTTTCGTAAAAAAAATGATTGTTCATTTGAAAAGATGTTAATTCACCACCGGGACTTCACCTTTACTGCCCTTCTACTTGCATTCCACCTTAATGACGTTTCGCCCGGTCTGTTTAGAAACATTTTAAGAAAAACATAGATGGAAGAAACAAAGTAAGGTTTCAGTCTAATTTCTGATTTAACGTTGAGTTCTCGTGATGCAAAATCCGCGCAATCGATTCAGATCACGGAAATCATGGAATCAAAAATTACAAACATTTGTAGGACATTGCGAATTTTAAGGGAGCGGACTGACAAACAAACTCTGGTTCGTATATTAGAATGATATTTGCAATTTGAGGCAATGTTATGTAGAATTTCAGACTTCTTCTGCTGGCCTTGGACCGTAATTCGTCGTTTGTTCGCCTACAAGATCTGCCTGACGTTTTCCTCGCAGTGTCCGAAAATCCCGTGGGCAAAGAATTCATGTTCAATTTCCTCCTGGAACGGAGGACATTCTCAAAAGGTTATTATTGCAATTAGCCTCATATTACGTCTACAGGTTAGATGAGTTGAGCAGAAATTCCTTATCTGAAGGAAATGGAGTTGCACAAAAGAAAGTTCACAAAAAGTAAAAGTATTCCAAAAAAAAAAATCTGAAAAGTTCTAAAATGCCCAAGAAAAACAATTCGGAAAAAAATTCCTTCGGAATCTTCCGCATGTTTTGGTAGGTAGCACATTAATCAGGTCTGAAATACATTGAATTAATCTGCTGGTTTAGCATAAGAGGTTGGGTTTTGTAGCGCACTTCGGTGCTCATCCATACGCTTGTTAAAGGAATCCTTTGCGGAAAATTCTTGCATTCTTTCTTGATATGAATGTCAGTTGTGATCACTGGAAACAGCACACAAAGTTTCACGCATGAAGATTCGGTTTCCGAAGAGAAACAAACGTACAAAAACTACACTCTATGGGACAATCGAAGGTAATTCGGGCGGAGCCAGGCGAGGCATGGAAAGAAGACGGCGTTTGGCCGGCTACGTACCAGGCGACGCAATGAGAGAATCGGGTTAAAGCGCGCGATTTCGGAGAGTGGAGACAAATCGATCGATGGAATAGGATGGAGTAGAAGTGTAAGATGTGAATGCAACGAAGCAGAAGGCCAGAAAGAGCTTCTAGTGAATGCACTCCAAGAACCAAGTTTGAGCATCCCCGTCGCCAGCATTTGTGAAAGACGTCCGTGGGCACTTTGAACGCGTAGCAGCCCTTTCGATTTTTCGAATTTTCACCAAACCAAGCAAGTTCTGTTCTTTTCACTCCTATCGTGGATAATGAGTCTCATCCCAGTGGTTTGTGCTATAATATGTTTAGAATCATGATTTTTCCGTGAAGGATTCCTCTAAGGGGCCTCTTCAATTCCCCACTAGCCTCAAGGATGAGGCGGATAGTGGTTCGATATCGGTTTACAGTGATTGTGGAAGGCTCGAATCAGATCAAATTCGTATAGAACACTTTGAAGTTCTTACCATGAGCTGAGCGCAGTAAATCTGTGTTCTCTAAACATACGGCTATACGGCTGGAAACTAAAGCAATTCAAGAGTGGGCCCCACCACTCTGAAGTGCTGTTTCCCAATCTTCCACCCTCTTTCGACAATGGAAACTACCTTTCCTCTATTGTACCTGTGCGAAACGATGTCGATTAGCCAAACAAGTCCTTGTACAATTACTTGTCAAACTTCTCCTAGTAGAACCTTTAGTACGGTACGGATATATGGAGTGCGGAAATTTTCCTATTCATTAGAATAACTACGAAAAGTTTGCTGTAGTCTTGAAGTCTAAATTTTGTTAATTTACAGAATTCTCTTAATGCTTGCTTTCCGTGATAGCTTGTTGGACTATGAAGAGTTTCAGCTTGCCAACGGAACACAGAGCGATCGAGAAAGTAATCAAATACTGCAGCGCAGCTTCGATCAGACAAGATAGATCAGGAGACTGGCGCAATTTCTTGATAAGCAGTTTTTTAAAGCAAGAAATTAGTAGCTGATTGCTACTTTCATGAAATAGTAAAAGGTTATAGCTAATACTGGAAAACGTCTTGATGATATGGAAGAGTATTCTCAGAACAAATGCGTTCTTCAAAGACAAATCGAATGAATCAAGTTTACCCCTTGTACTGGTCTACCGAGAAATTTCTTTTTGTCCTGGAACCTACGAGGGAAGGTCTTTCTCGAAAAGACCGTTTTTTGCATGATATAGGGGTACGTGCATGGAACACAGAACTGTAGTTCATTTTTCCTGAGCGGCCCTCTGAATACCAAAAAAGGGGTGATGAAGTGGTCCGTGGTTCGAATCCTCGCAGTGACAAATTTTTGCATTTTGTGTTGGACGTTTGAAAAATAGCGTCAGGTGGAAGAACTTATATCATATCTATAATTAGGGCTATCAGCAACGTAGATTATATGTAATAGACTTTATCTGGAAAATTGTGAAGAAAGCTAAGAAAGGGCAATTCCTCAGGCACATTTTCTTTGCTCTTCCACGGACCACTTCATCACCCCTATTTTTGGCTATCCGGCAGCCGCTCAGGAAAAATGAACCACAGTTCTGTGTTCCATGAACGCACCTCTATATCATGCAATAAACCGTTTCGAGAAAGCTGGGCATTTCCTGGAAGACCTCCCTGGTTAATACACATGGTATCGCGGCTCAGGAGACACATTCTATCCAAATTCCCGGTAGATGAGTCCGCGCCGATATCACGTAAAAACACCTCCACTGGCTTCCCATTCCGACTTGCTTAACTTAACTTAAACTAAGGTAGTAGCTGACTGTTAACGATGGCATTCGCACCGGGGAATGTGTTAGGTGTCTGGAACTTGTTCAGGTGAAAAATCAAAAAATATTCCGAAATTTCTGAGCCTTGAGTTTCTTTCTGGTCGAACAATGCTTACAGGTGCAGTCGAAAAATGAAAATTTTGTGTTTTGATGTGGAAATCGCGAAACCGCATTACATTTTTTTGACTAGTTTTGTTATTTGTTTTATAACTTTTTTATCCGAACTGATTTTTTTTCTTTTCAGCTGAGGAATCTACAGAAGAATGGTCGACATGGTCGAGATTTCCGTGCATTTGACGAGGAAATCGAGCGAGAAGGACAGAAGATCAAATGGATCAAGAAACATTTTAAGAAACTATCAGAGTTTTTCAAGTAAGTTAGCCCTTTGTTTTATAGGCTTAGGGTTTTCACAATGCTATGTACAGGGTGTTCCATAAATACTGCAACACATTTTGAGCTTCTATTGTGTGGGTGTCTGTAGTCCTTTTCCCAAGGTTGGCATACCTTCACTTCCTAACCTCTTGTGAATAACCGTGCCAAAGTGCATTATGGTATGGACACCGCTGAGGAGAACACAGGATTATCTGACAAAAAGTGCAATGAACTTTGAAGGGCAGGGCAAGCGGTCGTGAGGTACCCTCAGAACGGTGGAGACACCTCATCGTAAGAGACATCACTGAGAGCAGAGCCTCAGCAAAAGAAGCCCTGAACAGAGTAAGGTGACATCGAGTAAGGTACATCGAGTAAAAGATGGCAGCCGTTCTGTGTGTGCGACTAACATTAGATAGAAGAGAACGAAATAAATTCTTGGTAAGTGCCTATCAACTAGGGTGCTACAGTTGGGAAGAAGCGATTTACAAGAATCTTCTAATTCCACGCCTTTTGGTACCATTTGATCCTGTAGTACCCCTACCCCTCTTTACCCCGCTATACAATTATTTGAAAAGAGCATACGCTCTGTCATCAGATACACATATTTAAACAACTCGGTTCTTCGAAGAGGGGCATTAGTCGTGTGTTCTTTATGCATATCAAAAGACATTAACTCAAGAGCGGAATACGTGGTTATGAAACGATTGCTTTCAGAAATCATCATCCAAGTGATGACACCACTTCTTCAGAAGAACTGCGCCTTCCAACAAGCATAAAACCGGGTAAGTAATGTGGTGTTGTGTATTCCTATCATTCTCAAAGGAAGACTGGACAAGGGTGATCACTGTAGTGTGCAATTAAATCTAACTGAATTTTGGACCAGTTTTTTTCGTTTTTTTTTTGCTTCGGCTTGACTCCCTATGCTAATGTTTCCCAAGTGAACTATAATTCATAGCTGAGCGACCTTTAAAATCTGTGCTAATACCGCTATGAAGCTTACCGTTGTTAACTTGGCTTTTCCTTAGTTTTCACCGTGGTTCAAGTTATATATCTGATCTTATTATGTGGGAAGATATTCTGTCCATGCATTTGATTGGCTGAAGTACACCTTTTCACCTCTTCGTGCCCAGCGCTTGTTTTCTCAGTCAAATGAACTAAGCTGCTTCGAGCTTCCTTTTTCTGAAATCTGTCACGGCACATGCATAACTCAACCAGATAATTCTTCCTTTCCATGTGTTTGCATTATTCAAGCATCTTGCTGAAGACTATTTCACCTTTTCTTCAATGTGAACCTCTCGTCTTTCATTCGAGCCTATCCAGATTCACAAATTCACCAATGTAAAAGCTGTGGTGCAGTTTTCACTTTATCTTATTATCGTTCTTATTCTTTTTACTTTAGTATGGTCTTTCTATGGGCATTTATATCTCACATTTAATTGAACTAGTGAACCTTGAAACTGAAAAAGCCAGCATAAATTGAATTATTACAACAAATATTGTGACTCCACATGAACAATCTACAAAATTCTACGGTATTCTCACTAGATATTTCCACTGTCGGAAAATACTGAAAAGGGCATTAGGTTTCAAACCAGCCCACTGTACCGATTACCAGTGGTGGCACGGTTGAATTAGTAGTGAAATGGATGGGGTGATCAAACCCTTGTGTTTTGGGTCGAGTCCCTAGACCAAATGTGTTTTAGCCTCAGCTTCTAGAACGGATCCGACAGCGTACCCTATCGAGCTCAGATCTGAAATGCTGTTCTACCACCGTTTAAGCCGACAAAGTCGAAAAAATCGGTTCTGCATCAATGCTGCACTAGTACTGAACCACCCTTGCCTCGTAAAAGCTCCTACTTGATGGAAGGCCCAGCAACGATTTTCAAAGTGAAAATAAACTCAGGATAGCAATGGGCTCTGATAAGTCCAAAAGAGCCCCCCTGATTCCTATCTCTCGTGACATCCAGTGAAACCAGCGCGTCAACTACCTGCAAATTCTATCGCACACAATCCTTAGATTGTTCGTGGTCGCCACAGAAACACGCCCTTCTCATCCAGAATGACTGCATTCAGCTCCTTGGTATACACCAAAACGATGATAATTGTCGCGTGCCAAAAACCCTCAACGTCGAAGTCCAATGATTTAGGGACGGTGTCAGTATCAGTCAACCGCTGCAGCTACCATAGATTTTGGTGGTTGAACAAGGTAAGCATAAACAATTCTACACCACAGTACCAAAACTAGGACAGAAGAAAACAGCATCTGTGAATATCAGTTCAAATTGTTTGCTCATGCGTTGTCTCCGTAATTTTGGCGCACCCTGTATATTACAATATGTATTATAAATTATTGAGAAACCGTGAACGGGCGAATGAGGCAGTTTTGTTGCAGAAAGACTGCCGACTCATTTGAGCCCGAAGCTGATTGAATCTTCGGATACCGTGATTTGGAACCATGCCTTACCATCGAAAACGTGAAAATGACGTGTAGCGACCAGGTCTTGTAAAACAACTACATCGAGAAGAGCTGGGCGCAGCGATCCCGTAACATAACAGTCGATCGAGGAAGGAAGAAAACTTGAGGAAACTTCAGAGTAGAGAATTGGCAAGCAAGGAACCCTCCCTTTTTAATGCTTCAAGCTGCGATCTCTGCTAACTGCTCCTGAACCCATTTCTAGGCGAGTGGACTCAATACCTCCAAAAAGCTTCTAGTCAAAAGAGAAGCTGCTTTCGGAATTTATTCAGAAGAGCGTATTTCTACTTGTTCTTGGGTAGTAGGTATCAAATTGCGGTGCAGCAGATATACTACATATGTAGGGTAATTGTACTGGAAGTAGAAATATTATTATTTTGACGACTCAGATTCATAATCCTAGAAGGACATTTATACCGCAGCAGTAGACATAATCATAATCCTGCCATTTGATGCTTTTTTGTTTCAGTACTGTACGATTTGACCATCAAAACGTATCTGCCTGGGTACGTGAAATTTCCACCAGAGAAAAATCTCACATTCGATGGGCAAGTGGGAATTTCCATGGTGGTAGTGGAGCCAACCAAAAGTATCGTGCTGAATGCCAAGAAAATCACGGTGATACCAGAAAAATGCGAGGTCTTCGCGGTAAGTTTACATTCTTCCATAGGCGAAAAACAATGCGAAGAGAAAAAGGATCCACCAAAACGTCCACGAATCTGAGCAGATTTAACGTACTGCAGTAACGCTGCTTTTCCGGTGGGATAAAATAGGGAAAGAATTAGGTCGCACGACCACCTGGACTGATCATATGTAAAAATTCACATATTGTTCTTGAAACCGTTGCGAGCGTCAACCGCAGTCTATCTTGGAAACATAATTGAAAAGCCAAACCTTGTCCGAAGACTACGTTTTGCTGCGAAAATGTTGTTTGACTTTGGAGTGGATCTTGTGAGACGTCAAAGAGTTGGTCGATCATATGAAATTGTAATTTTCACATGTTCTTTGTTCGCTGCGACACACTTCGCGATGCGAAATTTCTCAAGAATGCTGAGTTGTGGGCAAAAACAAGTCTTATGCGGACTTGAACTCGCATCTCTTGCTTACCGGGCATTTGTGCTACTATCACGTACCGGGCACCACTTCATCGTAGATGATCTCTGTGCTGATAGCCTCAGCCCCAGGCGAGACTCTGTTGGTACCGACAAGCTACGGTAACTATACCATAGCTTATCGGCCGTCACGGAGGCCCGCCTGGGGTTCAGCTTTAACCTTCAGCATGCTTAGGCATTCATGTACGTTCCATACTCAAAGCTGAAATCGTGAAGTAAATGCAATAATTCATAAAAGGAATAAATGGAATCCAAGCATGCTTGGATGATCCATGTTTTGGCATGCTTAACTGGTCTGAGCTACCCAGCGCATTCGTTTTTCGAACAGATTTGGAAAAGACTGTTGGAATTTGAATGCTTCACCCATTTTTTCTTCGAGGGATAATGTGGATCCAAACTTTAAACTCACATTCTTCCATATGCCCATTCCGCTAATCCGAGTCCAAAACGAGCTGACTGCAAACCTCTTAATCACTTATAACATGCAATCTGAAAGCATGAATATAGGCTTTCCAATGCTAGCTCCTATTTTGGCCGCAGTTGCCAAGCAAAAGTTATCACAAGAATACTTTGTTCCGAGCGAAACTCTTCAGCCCCGAGAGAGATGCGAAAATGAATTCCTCATTTGGCCAACTTACGCCTGCTACCACTTATACTATCGCCACACCATTTCAGCTTAACTCGGCTTCTACGGTACTATTTACTAGCTTAGCGGCGCGTCGATCATCTAACTGTGTGAAAATAAAACATAATACACAAGTAAATAAAAAAATAAAGTAGAAGACTTTGCATACTATGATGACTTGCTTGAAGCAGAATAGATGTACACTAGCGGTACAAGAGGTCAGGCTTGAAGGCAGGATGTAGTGCAAACTGACAAGTGATTACCATATGCTGCAACCGAGAATTCTCTAAAGAAAAACTGGACATTGAACCAGCTCGTTCATGAAGAAACGCGACAATGATCACGCCCCCATGAGTGGGGACCTGGTAAGTCTCTTCCATGGATATCTGAACAAACAAAGTGAGAACAGAGGATCCTAGAAATATATTGCTCCATGGGTTTGAGGAGCGCGATACTGTGGTGGAGAGGGACACTAATTATCGCCCATGTAGCACATTATCAAATTATTTTTCCACATATCATACTTTCTTGTTGACAATAATGTAACTATCATGAAACGTGATAAGTATCTAATCGAGCTGCGACTTCCAATCGCGACTACACTGTTACTCGCGTTGACATTAGTAGAACCACTATCGAAGCGCATCAGCGCGGTAGGAGTATTAGAGAAGGCGCTCAACCGTCTATCCTGCTGATTTATCAGTTGAGCGTGTCAACCGCAATGTGCAAATGAAACAAATATCATAATAGCCAGGATTATATATACATCACATGCGAGCAACTACTTTTTGAGATGAGGATCGAGTGCATGGCGCAATCCTATATGGAGCTTTTCCAAAGTATCAAAGCACATTCTTATAGTGTCCGACGAGCTGAATTCAAAGAAGATAGGCATATCGAGAGGACTGCGAAATCTCTATCACAATATGTCGACTAGTCAGTAATACCTTACTAGTAAAGAAATTACACGAAATTAAGGAGCAGATCGACTGTATATTTTCAGCACTCCACTATGACACCAATGGAGGATATCTACACGAGATGTCACAACATGCCGCTTTTCAATGTTTGGGAAGTTCCGCAATTTCAACTGCTTGTTGTTCAATGTTATGTTGTGTTCGTTGTTGTTCCATTCCAATTTCAGGGCTGTCGCAATGTTATGCCTGCAGTTTTTTTCCAGCAAAATATCACTAATACTGTCCTTATGCGTACCGACCGCCTAGGCCTGCCCCTTCACGCCTCACCCGCCTTCATGAATATTCGCTCATCTGTCTCTGCAGTCGAGCTGAGAAAGCCCGTACCGTAACTGCTTTAGCCTGAAAGCTCTTACATTAATTTGCTTGAACGTACCGCGTTAGGATATGTTTTTCTAGTGTGATTAGCTCTGACCTGTATGCAAAACCCCACCCGCCCTGAAACCTCCTTTCAAAATTATGCGTAATTGAAACAACCATCGAGGACCCCATTTGAAGCTCGACACCGTGAAGCATTACACGCCGGGTCAAATTTTTTATGATGCCTGTCACGTGATGCCACAATTGTAGATTTTTAAAAATACATAAGTGCTGCGTTCAGATTATAAGTTGGGAGATTCAGGTCCTGATATTGGAGCATATAAGTGATCAAGTTCATTTAAATATGAAGACGAAATATTGTCCCCCTGTATGCTTCCGGCACCACGATGCTCTGCACAACCCCCCCCCCCCCATCCAGGAAACACAAATACGACCACTCTATTCTGAGAATTTCTTTTCGATTGACCCTGCAATGAGAACGCGATTGCACCTGCTTATTACGGTCATTTCAGGAGTTTTTCTTGATCACCTTTTCCCATTACCTTTCTCGTTCGCTACGGTGTGGCATTTTATTGGATCATCGTACTTCTTGACTTTTTGTGGCCTAATTTTAAGTACGAGACGAGCAGCAGACGAAGAGAAATTCATCCGCAAAACGTTCAAAAGTTCAAAGTAAGACTTATGTTGTTTTAGAATCGTCGCAGTCTCTCAAATGGAGCCAACAGACGCTCGTCGAATGGTGCCGTGTTTTGACGAGCCGAGTTTCAAAGCCAACTGGACAGTAACAATAGTTCATCCAAGAGGTACAACAGCCGCATCGAATGGCATAGAAACTAACGGTGAAGGGTCAGTAGAAGTTTTATCAAAAGCGTCTTGAATGAAGGGCTCGAATGCAAAAGGGTGCTATCACAATATACGGGGGCATTTCGCAAACGCCTGTCCACACATCAACATGTACACGCTTAGAAACGTCTCGTCAACTTGAAACGTGTACATGTATGAAGGTGATAAGTAGTGGTTTGGAGTCCGTACAGAAAAGCGGACGGTTCACCTAGTACGAAGGGTAGGCTTTTCGAAGGCAAGCCCGGGATTAGCCTGACTCGTGGGAAGGATATCACGAGGGAATTTCAAGGTTCCTACCTACCAAAATCACACCAGCTTCGCCGCAAAAGTTGCGCGGTTAGGGCGCTAATCCTTACAGTCCTGCAACCATCGACCCCCGTTGCAACGCTTTCCACCACAACTCGATATCGACGAGTTCTGCGTCTCCGATACGGCGTGATCTTTCTGCGTTTTTGTATTCCTTGACCGCCTGCTCTTCCCATCGTTCCACACTTGTGACCTTTTTTGACTTTTCCGACCTTTTGAACGGTTCCCAGAAGGAATCTTCCGCGGAAAAAGCTCCGCCCTCATTACCTCCTAGAAAAAACGATACCCCTTAGGCCCCTAGCCTCATGAGCATAGCAAAAAGAACGGAACATAAGCGTTAGTTTCGATAATACTAATCCTACACACAAGACAAAATGATCACTCTTTCCGTGGAAGATTCCTTTAAGGTATCGTTTTCTGTGGTAATGAGGGCGGAGCTTTTTCCGTGGAGGATTCCTTTAAGGCCGTAATTTCAGCGATCCCAAAAAATTTTCCATTTTTCCTTTCCACTTTCAGGCCGTCCCACAACTCAGTAATCACTACGAAGCGCTCTTATTACTAATTTTCTCCCGGGGCTTGCCTTTAAGGAAGGAAAGAGAACAGATGATTTCAGGCGCTATCGTCAAGATGCATATATTAGGTTGTCTCATAAACAGTGTCGCTTTTTTTCATCCAAAAAATTTTCATCTAAACCTCCATGCTTTTACATCGTGTTGTGTACCATTCGAAAGAGAATTGTCTGCTCTACAAAATGCTATGTCCCACTTCCACATTTCTTCCAGGGTTTTCAAATTTTGGGCCTGTGAAATGGGAGGTCCGGCCGACAAAAAATGGCCAAACCGACAACTATCTCTAACATTATCTTTCCTTGGGAGAAATCAATCTATGATGTACCTTCTACTTATGCATGACCTCTTCTAATCATTACACTACTAGGTTTTCCTACAAATCGCGTCGTTCAATTTCCAGAGCTGGTTTTTCAACCAGAACTCGACGATCGAGCACCATTACCTGTGATCTAGGTCGAAATTTTTTTATGGCCGAGACGTTGAAGAACTGGTTGAATTTGAAGAACAAGTCATGACTAAGTTAGGAATGTACGACTGGTTGATTTTCTCATTTTCTAAGGGATAATTTTTTTCAAAGAAATGTGGTCACTTTCGCGGTAAAGCACCTTATACCGAAACATCTAAAATTCGAACTAATTCCCAACAAACAGAGAAACAAAACAAATGAGCGAGTAGAGCAGAAGAAGTGCTCGTAAAAGGAACACCACTCGATATGAAACAATGACGTTTACGAGGAACAATTTTAATTTGAAAATTGCTATGGCTTATCCGTCAGCCAATTCGAAAAGAAAAACGGCAAAGCTTTTTCGGCAACCTAAGAGTGGAATGTTTAGAAGAGGTCATGGGTAAGTATAGGGTATATCACTGGTTGATTTCTCCCCAGGGAAAATAAAGTTACAGCCAGTTGTCGGTTTGGTCAATTTTTGCCGGCGAGACCTCCCATTTTGCTGGCCTGAAATTCGAAAACTCTGAAATAGCGGTGGAAGCGGAACACAGCATTTTGTAGAGCAGACAATTCTCTTTCGAATGATATATAAAACGATGTAAAAGTTTCATGATTTAGATGAAAATTTTTTGGTTGAAAAAAAACGACATCACTTATGAGACAACCTAATACATATGGCGACATTTCATTTCACTTTGCGCAAAAGATCTTTCTGCTGAAAATGGGGCCAATTGTTAGGTGGCGAAGAAAGTGTCCAGATTGCGTGTGCAATTTTTTCCCGATATTTCTGCCCCCCCCCTGGATTCTCCTAGAGGATCACCCATGTCTTGCGGTTGCGCCCGAAAGGATCAAATGCTACAAAATCAGAAAAAAAATCAGCGGAATGCGTAGGAATGTTACCGCCGGCATTGAGTCGGAAACATACACGTTTGAACGTGTTCTGAGGGTTGACTCTGGGGATTCAACCAGGTCTTAACGAACATGTAACCACCAATTGACAAGAATGCACACGTTTAGACAAAATGCCTCCGTATATTGCGATAGCGCCCGGAAAAGCCGTTGTTCTCCTCCCAATAATAGATTGCTTCGTTATATTCCTAGCATTCTTCAGTTGTTTGTAGAGAACCCGACGGTGATTGGATCACATCAAAATTCAAAACCACCTCCTACCACGAATGTCTTCTTATCTGCTGGCCGTTATTGTCTCAGAATTCAAATATATTGAAGGGCGCACGAAAAGCGGTGTGCGGGTAGGTCAAGCACTTGCTTGGTGGCTAACTGGAGTGTTGAAGTGAATTTACCCATTCAGTTCCGAATATGGTCACGTCCAGAGGCGGTAAAGATGACACAGTTCGCGTTAGACGCCGGTGTCAGATGTTTGGAATTCTATGAAACGTTTTTCGACATTCGATTTCCTCTTGAGAAGCAAGGTTTGTGCCCGAATCTGTTCATCAGCACACGGCGTTCACCACGCTTGTCTGCAAGCCTGTCCACAGATTTTCACCAA